TTGTCTACCCTGAAGATAATCCTAGTTGGACTTTTATCACTCCTTCCACTGCTGCCACCTTGGTCCTTTTACCATCATTTCTTGTCTGGATTGTTTATCACAGTGGCTTTCTTTTTTTTCTTTTTTTTTTTTAATATTTTATTTATTTATTTGACAGAGATCACAAGTAGGCAGAGAGGCAGACAGAGAGAGAGAGAAGCAGGCTCCCTGCTGAGCAGAGAGCCCGATGCGGGACTCGATCCCAGGACCCCGAGATCATGACCTGAGCCGAAGGCAGCGGCCCAACCCACCGAGCCACCCAGGCGCCCCTCACAGTGGCTTTCTTAACTAACTTGTGTGTTTTCCCTGTGCAGTAGTTTGAAAGGTGATTTAAAAATGTAAGTCAGATCGTGTTGCTCCTCTGCCTAAACCTTCCAGTCCTTAACCATTTCACAAAAAATAAAGGTTGAAGTTTTTATAGTGTCTCCAAGGCCCTACATCGTCTGGCTTTTCATTACCTCACTGGCCTCCTCTGCCTGTCTGTCCCTTGCCCATTTTGCCCCAACCACACTGGCCTCTTGCATACGTGTCATATACTGTCCGCCCATTGCCTGGTATGTCCCTCTCCTGTAAACAGGCATGTTGCTGCCATGCTTCTTTGACGTCTTGTCAGATGTTACCTTATCACTGAACCCCACCTCCCCTGTAGCCTATATAAGCATTCCCTCTCGCTGCTTTCTTCCTCTTTTTAAAAAAAATTTTTTAAAAAAGATTTTATTTATTTATTTGACAGAGAGAGAGAGAGGAGATCACAAGTAGGCAGAGAGACAGGCAGAGAGAGAGGAGGAAGCAGGCTCCCTGCCGAGCAGAGAGCCTGATGCGGGGCTCGATCCCAGGACCCTGGGATCATGACCCGAGCTGAAGGCAGAGGCTTTAACCCACTGAGCCACCCAGGCACCCCTAAATTTTTAAAAAAGATTTTATTTATTTTATTTGACAGAGGGAGTGTGTGTGAGAGAGAGAATGAGCAGGGGAGAGGGGCAGAGGGAGAGGGAGAAGCAGATTCCCTGCCAAATACGGAGCTTGATATGGGCTTGATCCCAGGACTCCGGGATCACAACCTAAGATGAAGGCAGCAGCCCAAGTGACTGAGCCACCCAGGTGCCACACCTTTTTTTTTTTTTTTTTTTTAGGATTTAATTTATTAATTTGTTAGTGAGAGTACATGAGTTGGGGGAGGAGCAGAGGGGCAGAGAGAGGGAGAAAGAGAGAATCTCCAGCAGATTCCCCGCTGAGCAGGGAGCCTGGTTTCTGGTCTTGATCTTACGACTCTGAGATCATGACCTGAGCTGAAACCAAGAGAGTCAAGGGTTGGGTGCTCAACTGACTGAGACACCAAGGTGCTCCATTACTTTATTCCTCTTGTAGCAGTTATCACCACGTGACATTTTATTTAGTTACCTTTTTTTTTTTTAAATCTCTCCATTGCAAAGAAACCCTCTTGAGGGCAGGGTTATTCTGATAACTGGCATGCGGTCCTCATAGCCTGTGTTGGGTATCCACTGTTTGTGGCATGAGTGAATTTAGTAAGCCCTCTTTTTTATTATCCCAGTTTATTCTTTTTTATTTTCATTTTTTATTTATTTTATTTTTTGCCCAGCCCCTATTCTTTTTTTTTTTGAATAGCTTTAATGAGATATCATTCACATACCATACATATTTAAAGGACACAGCTCAGTGGTTTTTAGTATATTCACATACTGCACTATAATCTTAGGACATTCCCACCACCTCCAAAAGAAACCCTGTACCTATTAGCTATCCACCTTCTCAAAGCAAGCACTAATCTATTTTCTGTCTATGGATTTGCTTATTCTGGACACTTCACATCAATGGAATCATAGAACATGTGGCCTCTTGTGTCTGGTTTCTTTCCTTTAGCCTAATATTTCTGAGGTTCATCTAAACTGTAGCATTTATCAGTACTTCATTACTTTTTTTTTTATGATTTTGCTTATTTATTTATTTGAGAGAGAAAAAACACAAGCAAGGGGAGGGGCAGAAGGAGAAGGAGAGAGAGAATTGCTCAAGCAGACACTGTGTTGAGTATGGAGCCCAATGTGGGGCTCGATCCCATGACCCCAAGCTCCTGACCCGATCCAAAACCAAGAGTCTATTGCTGAACCAACTGAGCCATCCAGGTGCTCCCAGTAATTTGTTACTTATAATGGCTGAATGATACCATACTGTATGGATTCTCAGTTTATTCTTAAATGGAACATAAGAATTATCTTTGCAGAAAAAAATGATCAATCCTTGTCTTTTTGAGGACGCTGAGTCCGAGGAGGAAAGAACTTGCCCGGGTCATGAGCTAGTAAGCGGTAGAGCTCAGATGTGCACCTGGGTCTGGGTGAGTGGAGCCCTAATCACAAGGCTGCAGAGCTCTCCGTGCCCTTAATGAATGATTTATGACAGCTCTTCCCTCTTGCCTTTTCTCTCCTTCACTGTCCTAACACACTGTAATTGGGCCAATATTTGTAGAGAAGTCTCTTGAAAGTTCATTTGATTATCAGTGCCAGGACTCTGCGTTTAATAATGATGTACGTTCCCTGGAGTATTGAATTAGCCTAAAAGGTCAGATAATTTGACTTCAGAAATTACTCTTTTTACCACAAATCTTGGTGACTTTTGGAATCCATGAAGGAAATCTTGCTGGGAACTAGAGAGGAATTCTCTGAAGTGGATGGCATTCATGGTGGACTTCGTTATTTTTGTGTGTGTGTGTTTTTTTAAAGATTTATTTATTTATTTGACAGACAGAGATCACAAGTAGGCAGGGAGGCAGGCAGAGAGAGGGGGAGAAGCAGGCTTCCCGCCGAGAAGAGAGCCCGATGCGGAACTCGATCCCAGGACCGCAGGACCATGACCCGAGCCGAAGGCAGCGGCTCAACTGACCCAGCCACCCAGGCGCCCTGTTTGTTTTTAAAGATTTTATTTATTTATTTGACAGAGATCACAAGCAGGCAGAGAGGGAAGCAGAGGCGGGGGGGCGGGGGAAGCAGGCTCCCTACTGAGCAGAGAGCCCGATGCTGGGCTACATCCCAGAACCGTGGTTCTGGGATCATGACCTGAGCCGAAGGCAGAGGCTTTAACCCACTGAGCCACCCAGGTGTCCCTATTTGTGTGTTTTTAAAAACTTTTTATTCTGAAATAATTCAAATTTATACAAATGTTGTAAGAATAATACAACTTCGGTGTACTTTTAACCCAGATTTAGCAGCTAACATTGTACACATTTGCCTCCCCCCATATATATATACACACTGTATAACTTCAGTCTGAACCATTTGAGAGTAAGTACCAGATATGATGTCTTGTTACTCTAAAATACTTCAGTGTGTATTTCCTAAAAACAGAGACACAGACATAGTTAACAGTATGCTTGTCAAAATCAGGAAATTTACATTATAATAGTATTATTATCAAATTTCTGCCTCCCCCTGGTCAGTGATAACACCCAGAAAGAACCATGCAGTGTATTCTTGTGTCCTGTTTCTGGCCTGTAATCTGGAAAGTTCTTTCTTGGCTGTCCCCTCCCCCTTCACAGTTTTGACATTTTTGAGGAGTACGTGCCAGTGAGTTTGTGGAATGTCATGCACTTGGGGTTTGTCCGATGTTCCTCCGAATTCGATTAGGTAATGCATTTTTGGCAGGAATAGCACAGAAATGGCATGTGTTCTCAGTGCGTGTCGTCAGGAGGCACATGATGCCAGTTTAATCCATAACCGGTGACGTTAACTTTCATCAACTGGTTAAGATAGAGTCTGTCAAGTTCTCCACTATGAGGTTCATGAATATTTGTTATTTGTTAATTAATAAGCATTTTGTAGGGAGGTTCTTTGAGTTGTTGTAAATACCATCCTTCCTGAAATGTTCACCCACCAATTTTAGTGTCCTCTGATGATTCTTGCCTGAATCATTCATGTGCTGGTTACCAACTGGTGATTTTCTAATCCTCTTATACCTTCTATACTGCTTATATATTACATATATATATATAGAATATTATATATTCTATACTGCTTATATATTATTCTTTGTGATTCTATTGCAAAGAGCTTTCCCTTTGTCCCATGTATTTTTTGTTTAAGATTTTATTTGTTTATTTGAGAGAGAGAGCCAGAGCTCTAGGAGGGGGAGGGGCAGAGGGGGGAGGGAGAAGCAGGCTGCCCGCTGAGCGGGGCACTGTGGCATGTAAGGTACTCCAAGCTCATCTTACTTTTTTAGTGCCCCAGACCTGGAATCAGCTCTTTCTCCAAGGAACCCAGTTCCTTTTGTTGGAGAATGGTATTGGTATTTAGAAATCATGATAACGGGGCTGGTTATGCTGATGGCTTCTGGGGTATCATTGCTTCCAAGCCCTTTTGGAAGAGAGAACTAGGAAGATAACGTATGCATCTGCATGCACAAAAGCACATAGACTTGCACAGAACCATACATCTGTATTTCTGTAGCCATCTCTTTATGTGTATTAAAAAACTAGAGTTTATATTGCCTCCAATTCTAATCTGGTTTATTCTGGTTTTCCCCTTTCCATATTTGTATCCCCTCTCTAATAGTGAGAAACCTGGCTCTCATTATCCTTAATATGTTTATTTATTCACTAGTTTCTTTCTTTACTTGTTTAATTCTACTCCATGTGTTCAATCTCCTGACCATACGGACTATTTTTCAGGGCTTGGGCTCGGCTTCATACCCATACCCCCATCCCCAGTCCCACTGACCATGCCCCTGGCCCCACTGACTACGCTAGCGGATCCCGGGATCCTTCCAAGAGGAAGTCAAGGAGGGGGGCGGTGATTAAAGAGAAGAGGGGTAAGAGGAAGGGAAGGTCCTATTTTATATTTTTATTAGCTACTCTATTCATGGGCATTTTAGCTGTCATGGTGTGGAAAGTAGTGCTTTCTGGAGAATTTCTGGAGAATTTTGGTTTTCATTGCTCTATTTTTCTCTCACTCAAGATGGTTTCACCCAAACATCACTGGCGTGGAGGCCGAAAACCTGCTGTTGACAAGAGGCGTTGATGGCAGTTTTTTAGCGAGGCCCAGTAAAAGCAACCCTGGAGACTTCACCCTTTCCGTCAGGTAAGTTGGAAGAAAAAGAGAATGCTGGAAGGGTTTTTCCGGTAGGAAATGTTGAAACCCCTCCAGGACAACTTGCTGCCCTCATTGAGAGTTTGAAGGCCTGCCTGTGGGCCTGTGGTGAGGCCTGGTCTACGTGTCAGATGCGACTCAAGCCCGCTTGCAAGGCTCAGGCGTGGCCTCCTGAGAGTGGGCATGTGGGAATGCGGCAAAAGGGGTGTCATCATGGGCACTTCTTCTCCCTTGAGGAAACCCCTGAGGGTGAGGTGGACAGAGTGTTGCAAGTCCTTAAGCCACACAGTGCTCCATCCTGGTTCTAGTCATCCTGAACCTGGTGGCTTGCATTTTTCCTTTTCCTTCTGTTGATTTCTTTTTGGGAAAATTGCTTTCTCAGAGTTACTTCAGATCAGTTTTCTTTTTCAAGTAATTAACATCACTGAGGAAGTTGTGGTCCCTTTTGTTCCCCTGCCCAGTCCCGTTCTCCTCCCTCTTTCCCCAGAGGAAACCACCATCGAGAGGTTGGCATATATCCTTCCTGAATGTGTTTTTATACTTGTACTGTCTTGGTGCTATTGTGAACAATATAAAGTTGGTTTGTGTGTTTTTAGAATTCATATACATGGTCTTATAATATATCTGCTATTCTGCAACTTCCTTTTTAAAGTTTTTGAGTTCTCTGCTGATCTAATTCTTCCTTTTAATGGCCAACATAATTTACTTACTTATTAATTAAAAAAAATAATAAAAGCAGATTCATAAAGCATTAGAGTTATAGCTCCTCGAATAATCTAGAGGAAAGGGAATAAGTACATAAGAGAAAGTCAGTTTCTAGAAAAATTCTGTCACACTTGCTCATAGAGACATGTAACAGGATGCTGGTCATACTGTTCAAAAAACTTTAAACTAAAAACAACTCAGTGTCCCACAATAGAGGGTTGGATAAACTGGTTGATTTATTTAGGATCCCCTTTGGGACTTGGGAAATATCTTTTTGGGTTAGGTTAGTTTTTTTGAGGAGCCCCTGTCCTTAGCTTTTACTTGTGTTCTTCTTTTTTAAGATTTTACTTATTTATTTGAGAGAGTGCATGCGCGTGAGAGCACGAGCAGGGGGTGGGGGAGAGGGAGAAGCAGACTTCTTGCTGAGCAGAGAGCCCGATGCGGGGCTGGATCCCAGGACCCCGGGATCATTGACCTGAGCTGAAGGTAGACGCTTAACCAACTGAGCCACCCATGCGCCCTTGTGTTTCAGTTCAAGGAATGGATCTTTCAGTCCTAAGGATTTACCTCAGCACAGGCTTCTAACTTAAAGCTGTGTGATATTTGGGCTGTAAGAGTTTGGTTGGAGAGCATATGATAATGCCGCTGCTGCTGATAGCAGACGTGACTGAGGACTTGACATATGTACCAGGCCATTGCACCACGCACTGGGCACATATCATTGTATTTAATTTTCCCGACGGCCTGGGAATAAGTTCCACAATTACCTTCATTTTGCAGATGAGTAAGCTGAGGCACAGAGGTTAAGTTAGTTAGCTGGTCTCACGGCTTGTCAGTGGCAGAACCAGGACTAGAGAATTGGTGTGATTTTTTTTTTCCCCCTTTTTCCTCAATTTTTTTTTTTTTTTTTTTTAATGTCTGACCTGCAGAGAAGGTGAAAGGTGAATATAGTGGACACGCACATTCTCTTCACCTGCCAGCGTTTTGTCACGTTTGCTCTTTCTGAGTATGTTTGTGTATATACTTTTTTCCCCCCTGAATTTTTTGAAAATAAGTTGCAGATAATCAGGATATTTATTTTTATCTTTATTTTATTTTATTAAAAAAATTTTTTTAGAGATTTTATTTTTGAGTACGCTCCACACCCAACGTGGGGCTCGAACTCACAATGCCGGGATCAAGAGTCTGCATGCTCTACTGACTATGCCCGCCAGGGGCCCTTATTTGCACCTTTAAATACTTCTGTGTGTATGGCAGAGAAACAAGGGCTTTCTGGACAGCTACAGAATCATTAAGAGTAATACATTTTAACCTTGCTTTAATAATATTGTCAAATATATAATATACTGTCTGTATTCAGACTTCCCTTATTATTTCAGTAATGGCTTTAGAAGCAGTTGAGTCTCTCTCCACCCTCCACCCCTCCCCTGCCCCCAGACTAGATCCAGGAGAATCTCGTCAAAGATCATTCATTGCATTTAATTTTTATGTTTCTAGTCTCTTTCTCTCTCCTGACCTTTTCTTTTTATCCCCATCTTTTAGCTTTTTGGGGAGTCAGGCCAGTCATTTCTTGGGTCGTCCTCCAATCTCAATTCGCTGATTGTTTCCTCATTTTCACATTCACATGAAACATTTTGGGCAAGCACACTCCAGAGGTGATGCCGGACCACCCCGTTATTTCACAGGAGGAAGCACAGAGTGCCTGTTTGGCCCATCCTTTGGTGTTATTCGGTTTAACTGCTGGATTCAGGTGCTTGCCAGATTTTTTCATTACAAAGGCGCCTTTTTCTTTTTGTAATTACTAAGTGGTCTGATGGATGATAGTTTGCGTCTTCTTCCCCAGCATTTTCTCACTTCGTGTTTTTAGCATTCGTTGATGAAGTTTGTCTGAATAAATCATTTTATGGCACCTGAAAAATTATTTTTCTACTTCTGTTATTTCTTTTTTTCTTTCTTTCTTTTTTTTTTTTTTAAAGATTTTATTTATTTATTTGAAAGAGAGAACACGAGCAGGGGAGGGGGTTAGGTGGGGAGAGAAAGAAGGAGAAGCAGACTCCCTGCTGAGCAAGGAGTCAATGGGCACTGGACCCCAGGACCCTGAGATCACGAGATCATGACCTGAGCCAAAGGCATATGCTTAACGATTGAGACACCCAGGCGCCCCTCATTATTAATTTGATGTTCTAGTTGCCCCACATTTGGCTGGCGTGGTTCCTGTTATCCTTTTGATATTTCTTCAGTGATCTTTGAGTACATCCTTGCCTTCTGGCTCTGTGAGATGTTTTAGGCTATTTTTGTAGCCCCCCCCCAAGTCTGGAATCATTTCGTTTCTCTCAAGAGCCTTGAGTGTTTCAATGGGAAATAGTGTTCAGGAACCAAGATTTAGAAGCTAGGTGTGTTTATTGCTTCTTAGCCCTCATAGTAGACAGAGCTGGGAAATAAATATTTATATATTTTAGACCAAGTGTTCTTACTGATAGTTCCAGTTCAATGCAACTTTCTCACCTTTTCCCATTCCATATTTGTGTTTCCCTTCTCTTGTATGGGGAACCCTGCTTCCAGATGCAGCAATATACGACCACTTGGCCAATTCTATAATACAAAAATAGTTCCAGAATTACTATACCACTGTCATTTTTTAAAAAAAGATTTTATTTATTTATTAGACACACACAGATCACAAGTAGGCAGAGAGGCAGGTGGGCGGAGGTGGGGGAGCGGAAAGCAGGCCCCCTGCTGACTAGAGAGCCCGATGCAGGGCTCGATCCCAGGACCCTGAGATCATGACCTGAGCTGAAGGCAGAGGCTTAACCCACTGAGCCACCCAGGCGCCCCTGGAATTAATTTTCTTTGTGGTTGTGAGTTGATTACAAAGCGAGATTTCTGTTTGTATTCAGTGTTTTTCAGGTATTCATTTTTTTCTGATCTTTGTTGATTAAATTGTATGTTTTGAATATGTGAAGCGTTTACAAGATTTAAAAATAAAACTGTATAAAAAGGTATTTTCTGAGAAATCCCATTTTTTTAATCTATCCCTTGCATCATTTCCATCCATCCCTGTAGGTCATCATTTCCCTTAATTTCTAGTTTATCCTTTTGTTTCTTTGTACACATGAAGTAGAATACTATCTTTCCCTATAGTTTACTTTTTTCACTTATAGAAATCTTTTGGTAATCTTTCTCATCTTCGTAGTCAACTGAATAGTGTATAAATGTATACAATTTCCCTATAGATGGGAATTTAGTTTTTTCTAATATTTAACAGCGGCTGATACGGCTGCAGTGAATGGGATCACATTTTGCCTATGTTCTGTGCTTTGGAAAAGCTGTCTTTGGAGTGAATTCCTGGGAGGGAGGTGATTGGGGGAGACAGTAAATGCACAGGTGGCATTGCTCTTTCCGATTCTTCTCTGTAGTGATTGCACTTCTTGCACCACCAGTCATGCACGGGGGGGCCCCGTTTCTCCACAGCGTCACCATTTGAGTGTGGTCACGTTTTTCCTTTTCATTAGCTTGATAGATGAGAAATGGTGTCTTTGCGAATTTTAATTTTTATTTCTCTCAGGTGAAGCATCCTTTAGTGCATGTAAAGACCATTTGTATATCTTTTTTTGAACTTAGAACCATTGCTTTTGACAGTTGTGCAACACGGCCGACTTTCACTTTTTCTGTTTCTTTGTTTATAGCCGCTGTTACAGATGTCCGCGTGCCTCTGTGTGTGCGTGTTTGCATGCGTGTATGCGTGCGTATATGATGTGATTATTGTTGTGGTTCTGTGCAATCCAACCTTTATATTATGTGTCCATGCTTAAAAATTGATCATTATGTTACCTTATATTCAGTTCATGAAGGAAGATTCCCCCTACCTTTTTTCCTCCTCCTCCCACTCTGCCTTTATAATCTTGAGGAAAAAAAAACACAGAAAAATACCTGAAGTTACGTATAATCACTCATGTTGTATTTATGGCCATTTTCCCTTCAAAATAGAATATAAAATAAAACCGAATTTCCCTTTACTCACCGTCCTTGATCCTGTGCTTCCTTTTGTCCCATTGGCAGCTAGTCCCATTGGCAGCTAGTCTCTAATGAAAATTTAATTTTTCATTAAAAAAAAAAAATGTATGTATTGTATGTAATATAATAAGTAACATTACCTGGAAATAGTATCTTCACAATAATAAAATATAACACATATATATGTGTGTGGGTATGTCTGTATCTTAAATAATCTATAGTATTACTGTGTGTGTGCTTGAATTTTCATAAATGGTACATCTTGAGCATATCATTCTATGCTGTGCTACTTTCATGCACGACTATGTTTTTTAGCTCCGTCTGTGTATTAATGTCGTTCATACCTGAAATATCTTTCTTTGTGTTATGGCGTTAAGTAAAGGCTAGAAGTGGGAAGCTCAGATGTTCAAGTGGAGTCGGATATAGTTGACCTGAAGGTGAGGGTGACCGGAAGGACCCTCTTTACCCACTAGAGAAGGTTGTCACCAATAATTAGAAGTAAGGTATTGTCAGGAACATTTTGGGCTGGTTTTTCTTATTTTCTTTAGTCCCCATGTTCTTTTTTATTTGGTAGAAATGTGTTTATATTTTCCAGAGGCTTCATCAATAATCTGCAGGATCAGACTAAAAGCTCATATAGGTCAATGGTTATCATTTTGGAAGTGCCTGGCCCCTTGGTAATAATGAGTGTCCTTGTGATGTATTCATTTGTTCAGAAAACTGAATGGAAATCACAGGCTGCCTAGGCTAACTAAAATACCAAGTTTTATTTATTTAAGGTTTCTTTTAAGATTTTATTTATTTATTTGGCGGAGAGACAGCGAGAGAGGGAACACAAGCTAGGGGAGTGGAAGAGGGAGAAGCAGGCTTCCCGCTGAGCAGAGACCCCGATGTGGGGCTCAGTCCCAGAACCGTGGGACCATGACCCGACCTAAAGGTAGACACTTAACGACTGAGCTACCCAGGTGCCCCTAAAATACCAAGTTTTAGAAACTTTTGATCAATGTTTTGTCACCTCAATGGGAAAACATTTTAGCTATCTTGTGCTGGAAACTGTCAGTTGTCTGTGTTTTTAAGGTACGATTAAGGTCTGTGATTATTTAAAGTATGATTTAAGGTATGATTATATACGGTATCTTAAGTGTACAGTGACATGAATTTTGACAAATGTATTTATTTATGTAACCAACACCATAGTCAGAATATTTTCATCACCCTAGAAGATTCCTTTGTTCCCCTTTCTAATTTCCCTCCTTCTAAGTAGCTACCACTATTCTCTAACCCTATAGACTAGTTTTGCTTATTCCGCAAGTTCACTGACAAATGAGGTCATACAGTGCGTATTCATTTGTGCCTGTCTTCTTTCTCTCTCTCTCTCTTTTTAAAGATATTATTTTTAAGTAATCTTTATACCCAATGTGGGCCTTGAACTCACAACCCCAACTCACATGCTCCCCTGACTGTGCCAGTCAGTCAGTCACCCTTGGCTTCTTTCTCTTAATGTAATGTTTTTTGAGATGTATCCCTGTAGTTGTATGTTTTAGTGTTTTTTTTTCTTTAATTGCTGTGTAATGTTTTATGGTGTGAGTATGTAACTATTTATCCATTTTGGTGATAAATGTTTGAGTTTCCAGGATTTTTCTATTCCACATAAAGCTGCAATGAATATTCTCATACCAGTCCTTGGGTAGCTATACAGTTTCATTGGTGGGGGGGCAAAATACTTACAGTGTTTTTATTGGATTAGAAGATAGATTGATGTTTAATATATGTGTCTCTATTAATTACTGATGAGAAAATTATTATCACTTAATATATGCAATTTGATAGGTTAGACTTCCAAAATAGAAGTTGTAGAAGGGAAAGGAGCCAAGAAACAAAGCCCCTTGGTGTTAAAATGGTTGACCGTGTGGTTTTCACTCACCACATTTATTACAGGAAAAGTATAAACTGGCTTCTTGGGTGTGTTTCAAGGTGTAGGTGGACTCTGATACTGAATATGACATCCATTTATACTATACTTTATTGGTTTTTGTTTTCCCCCTAATGGACTCTTGTAGAAGAAATGGCGCCGTCACCCACATCAAGATTCAGAACACTGGTGATTACTATGACCTGTACGGAGGAGAGAAGTTTGCCACTTTGGCTGAGTTGGTCCAGTATTATATGGAACATCATGGGCAATTAAAAGAGAAGAATGGAGATGTTATTGAGCTTAAATATCCTCTGAACTGTGCAGATCCTACCTCTGAAAGGTCAGTGACTGTGGTGCATCTCTTCGATGCTGTAGGTGTTGTACGAATGCATCGTGGGGCCTTGGCTTTATCTGTTTCCCAAGAGGTCATCTTTGTAACTAAAGTTCAGTTTTCCTGAAGCAAGAACCACAGGATCAGATTATTTTCTGAGCTCCCCTTTCTGTAAAAGCTTCGATCAGCGTTCCTTACACTTAGTTTCGCAGGGCTCTCAGACAATTCCTGTGTATACTTGGTGCGTGCAGTCATTTTAAGATGACTGAACTTGAGTTGATCATCTCTGAGACCTCCGAGAGCAAAACAGCTGCTAAGGGAGGCGCCAAAACAGCCGCAGTGCCTGTGCTCGCTCCCGACCAGCTATGCAGCGGTGCCACCAACAGATGTCAGCTTAAGCTCAGCAGCTGAAAAGCGGAGCTCAGAGGGTTTTTCACCAGTTCTGTTCTGTTGTGTCCACAAATGTGGGAGAATGACCTTGCCTAGAGGGAGCTAAATGATTTCAGAGGGCCTCTTCCCTTTGTATAGGAACCAAGCTGATGAAAGCCAGGACTTGACTTATTTTTATTGATTTTATTGGTTTTTGACATTCCCAGTCTCCTGTCTGACTCAGGACACATTCAGGGTCTCTTTGTTAGGTTTGTGTATTGTATATCTCCAGGCAGCTTTCTTCTGCTTGCCCCTTTATGTCAGTGCTGTTCTAGGCGGATTTGTTTCCCCAGATACCACTGCAGCTTCAAGCAAAAGGCTGTTGGCCAACTCAGTTTATTTCCAAATTTTACTCTGTTCGGTTGAGTGTGGATGAAAAATAACTCAAAGTATATTCCTCTAGCGATGAGCCATTAGTGCTATCCGCCACAATCGTGCTTGCTCTCTCACCAAGGTCCTGGGGGGAAAAGACACATTAGTCATATAACTATGTTAAGATTTTTTAAAAAGTTGGTTTTTGTTTATTTATTTAATCTCTACCCCTTCCCTCCCCAGCATGGGGCATGAACTCATGACCCTGAGTTCAAGAGTCTCAGGCTCTTCCAACTGAGCCAGCCAGGTGCCCCTCTAAAATGTTTTTTATAGTACCTTTTTTTTTTTTTTTAAAAGATTTTATTTATTTATTTGACAGGGAAAGAGAGAGAGAGAGACAGTGAGAGAGGGAATACAAGCAGGGGAAGCGGGAGAGGGAGAGAGGGTGCTTCCCACTGAGCAGGGAGCCTGATGTGGGGCTCCACCCCAGGACGCTGGGATCATGACCTGAGCCTAAGGCAGAAGCTTAGCCACCCAGGCACCCCAAAATGTTTTTTATAGTATCTTAGAGTAATGTCGTCTTAGAGTCTATTCTCTCATGGTCCACATCAGGACTCTGGAGTACTGGGTAAAAATGCTTATTGCTGGGCTTCTGTCAAACGAATGTATTGCTATCTCTGGAGGCATGGGAATTCACATTTTTAGCAAACTCCCTCACCCTTTCTCTAGATGTTACATGCTTTTAGAGCTTGGAAATGATAACCCAGTATATAGTCCAAAGATACTGACAGCAACCTTCGAGGCTATTGGAAGTATTGGTTGGAAATGTTAAGAAATTTGGAATGCTTAAATTAATTTATAGTGAAAATCCTTTTTTATGTAGTATTCACATACTAAAGCAAGGGCAAACATTCAAATGATTTTCTTGTCTCTATCATGACTTTCTATTTTAATATTTTTTAAAGATTTTATTTATTTACTTGAGAGAAAGAGAGCATGAGTGAGGGTGGGGGGGGGTGGGGGGGGGGGGAGGGGCAGAATCAGACTCCCCACTGAGCAGGGAGCGCAGTGTGGGGCCCAATCCCAGGTTCCCCAGATCATGACCCAAGCTGAGGGCAGATGCTTAACTGACTGAGCCACCCAGGCACCCCCATTTTAAGTTCTTTAAATGGCTGTGATTAAATAGTTGGTCCTTTTGGAGTAGGGCATGGAGAAAACACAAAGTACATTTTTAAAAAAAGATTTTATTTATCTGACACAGAGAGATCGGGATTAGAAGTAGGCAGAGAGGCAGGTGTGTGTGTGGGGGGAAGCAGGCTCCCCGCTGAGCTTGATCCCAGGGCACTAAGACCATGACCCGAGCCTAAGGCAGAGGTTCAACCCTCTGAGCCACCCAGACACCCCACAAGGTACATTTTTAAGAAATGGGAGATTTAAGAGAAAATAGGAAAGATTGAGGGCATTTGTTTACAAATGACTGTGGGATCATTTGAAGTTTAATGGTTATTCTTAACATCTTTCTCATTTTTCCTGCCTGCTTGGGATGCAAATTGTCCCGCATGGGATTGGCCAGTCTCTTGGAGGAATGGATCTGTTTTTTAATTGTGTTTAGGAAAGCTGGCTATATATGTGAAAGAATACTGTGAACCCGTGGCAAAACTCAATTGATTTTCATTTAAAAAAATTTAGGTGGTTTCATGGACACCTCTCTGGGAAAGAAGCAGAGAAATTACTAACGGAGAAAGGAAAACATGGTAGCTTTCTGGTACGAGAGAGCCAGAGTCACCCCGGAGATTTTGTTCTTTCTGTCCGAACTGGTGACGACAAAGGGGAGAGCAATGATGGCAAGTCGAAAGTGACCCACGTCATGATCCGCTGTCAGGTAAAGTCCCTGTTGAACCACAGCTCTGGCAAAATATCCTCTTCGGGTGATTCTTCTGCTGGAGGAAGACAGACATCACTTCCGAAGTCAGATTTTCTGTGCTCAGGCACAGGCTTACATGCTTTCAGAACATTATTTATTACAATTATTTCATCATTTCAGAACTTTATTAAATTATCTCTTTCCAGTCTATCGCTGGCAGATTAAGTCATGCCTCAGAGCATCATCTTTTGCCCTGTACCATCTGATCTGTTTTGGCTGGAGTCAGCCTCAGTCTCCCTGTTTCTGAAGTGATGGCCTTGGCTCCTCCTTAGGGTTGTCACAGTCTGACCTGATACTGTATTTGCCTTCTTTTTGGAATTCGTGCATCAAGGCTAGGAGAATTGAACTCTCTCTCTCTCTCTTCCTTCCTTCCCACCTTCCTTCCTTTCCTTTCCTTCCTTTTTCCTTCCTTAGATTTTATTTTTGAGTAAGCTTTACACATAATGTGGGGCTCAGTCCCGTGGTGAAGAGTCACATGCTCCACCAACTGAACCAGCCAGGCGCCCCTGAACTCTCTATTTCTTTCTTTCTTTCTTTCTTTTTTTTTTTTTTTTTTAAGATTTTACTTCTTTATTTGTCGGAGAAAGAGCATGAGAGAAAAGCACACAAGCAGGGGGAGCAGCAGGCAGAGGGAGAAGCAGGCTCCCTGCTGAACAGGGAGCCCAATGCCGGACTCGATCCCAGGACCCTGAAATCATGACCTAAGCCAAACGCAGGCACCTAACTGACTTAACCACCCAGGCATCCCTCACTATTTCTTGTTCTTAGTGTGGTGACAGGACTAAGGACTAAGGAGGTTAATTCTTGTGTCAAACTTTCCTAAAAAGAAACTATTTACTTATTGCTTCAGTTTTTAAATTAAATTAAATATATATTAAAAAACCCCAGCTTTACGGGGCGCCTGGGTGGCTCGGTGGGTTAAGCCGCTGCCTTCGGCTCAGGTCATGATCCCAGGTCCTGGGTTCAAGCCCCACATCGGGCTTTCTGCTCAGCAGGGAGCCTGCTTCCTCCTCTCTCTCTGCCTGCCTCTCTGCCTGCTTGTGATTTCTCTCTGTCAAATAAATAAATAAAATCTTTAAAAACAAACAAACAAAAAAAACCCAGCTTTACAGACCATTCAATTCACCCTTTTAGAGTGGACAGGTTTTTGGTATATGCACATATTATCCAACTACCGACACTAATTCCAGAACATTTTCAGCACCCCAAAAAGAAGCCCTGTATCTATTACCAGTCACTCCTCATTATTTCCCCTCCTTTCACCTCTCAGCATCCACTAATCTACTTTCTATTTTTATGGATTCGCCACTTTTGGCTGTTTTATATAGATGGAATCATGTAATATGTGGTTTTTGCCTCTGGTTTCTTTTACTTTGCATACCGTCTTCAAGGTTTATCCATATTGTGGTGTGTGTCAACCAACTCTTTATTGTCAAAATATTCCATTGTATGGCTAGAGTACATTTTGTTTATCCATTAAAAAATTTATGGGCATTTGGCTATTATGAATGCTGCTATGAACATTTGTGTACAGATTTTTGTGATACTCTATTTGGTGAGACAACATCCTCATATTTTCTTTTAATTTATAAAGTACAGTTTCCTTTAGTTCTTTGAACATATTTATACTAGCTGATTTCAAGTTTTTATCTGGGCTTTCTCAAGGACAGTTTCTACTGAGTGCTTTACCCCCCATGTTTGGTCCATACTCTCCTGTTTCTTTGCATTTTTCCATTTTTTTGGTTGGAAACTAGACATTTTAAGTAACATAATGTGGTGATTCTGGAAATCAGATGCCATCTTTTCCAGGGTTTGTTGTTGCTACTTTTTATTGTTTCTGTAGTTACTGTTTCTCGATTTTCATTTATTCTTTGCTCTCTGTAGCCACTGAAGTCTTTGCTTTGTTAACATAATGGTCAGTTAATGATTGAACAGAGATTTCCTTAAATGCTGTGAACCATTAAGTCTCCCAGCCTTTGCCACAGGGGCTGTGTGTGTGTGTGTTGGGGTACAGTTTCAGTGTTCTGGCAGATTATAACTCTGCCTTAGCCTTCACTTTCTGTTTGTACAGAACCTCAAGGTCAGCTAGAGGTGAAGATTAGCGTTTTCTTGGATCTTCCCTGAACGTCACACAGCCCTGCACATACACATAGCCTCCTAGCTTCTTAAGAATATGTCAGAGTCTTTTTTTTTAACTGTTAATTTAAATTCCAGTTAGTTAACATACGTTGTAGTCTTAGTTTCAGGTGTACGATACTGATTCAGCTTGTCCCTTCAAAAGCCAGTGCCCATCATGAGTGCACTCCTTAATCCCATCACCTATTTTTCCCCCATCTTCCCACCTGCCTCCTCTCTGGTAACCATCAGTTTATTCTTTATAATTAAGAGTCTGTTTCTTGGTTTGTCCATGTCAGAGGTTTTCCACGCCCTCCGTGGACATTGCTTAGAGTTTCCTTTTTTCATTTTGGTCCGTGTTTTATTTGGCTTAACTGGAATCGCCAGTGCGGGCTGCTGTGATATGAACGGTTGCTGCGGATTGTTTTGGACGGATCCCCTGAAGACAGGGCTCTAAGTCAGGTCAAATAAACACAGGCTCTGAAAACAGGATTTTTCCAGGGAGATCCTAAATAGGCCCAATACAGGTATATCTCAGAGGTATTATGGATTCGATTCCAGACCATTGCAGTCAAATGAATGTTGCAATAAAGCAAGTCAAATTAATTTTTTGGTTTCCTGGTGCATATAGAAGTTATGTTTATGCTGTACTATACTGTAGTTTATTGAGTGTGCAGAAGCATTGGGCCTGAAAAACAATAGACAGTATACTTTTCTTTTGGACAACATACCTTAATTAAAAAATACTTTGTTGCTAAAAAGTGCTAACCATCATCTGAGCTTTCAGCAAGTCATAATCACTGATCACAGATCACCATAACAAACAAATATAATAATAACGAAAAAGTTTGAAATACTGAAAGAATTACCAAAGTGCGACACAGAGACACAAAGTGAGGAAATACTGTCAGGAAAATGGCTGTCAATAGACTTGCTTGATGCAAGGTTGCCACAAACCTTTAATTTGTAAAAAATATTTATTTGTAAAGTGCAATAAAACGATGTTTGCCTGTAGGGATTATTCTCTGGGGATCGGTCTCTTGAGAGAGCTCCAAATTCATTCTCTTCCCCTCCAGCTGTGCGAGGTTGCTGGCTTTCACAGCTACCATGATTATGAGGGTGTTGGTTTTCAAGGCTATAGAAGAGCTAGAGAGAGAGATACATGGGAATATAGGGCAAGTTAAAATGTCATCGTTTGCTCCTTACCAAGATGCAATCATTTTTCTTGAATAAATGGTCCTTGGAGTGTTGCAAGTTCTTGGTTAGTTTCCAGAGTTCTGGAAAATTTGATGACAATTTTTACTAGTTTTTTTTTTTTTTTTAAGAATTTTTATATGTTTATTTGTCAGAGAGAGAGAGCACACAAGCGGGGGAGCGACAGAGGGAGAGGGAGCAGGGAGTCTGATGTGGGACTTGATCCCAGGACCCTGGGATCATGACTTGAGCCAAAGGGAGATGCTTAACCGACTGAGCCACCCAAGTGTCCCTTTGCTAGTGTTTTTGTTGCTTTTATTGAAGAAAGGATTTTCAGAGGTCTTTCCTTTGTCATTCTGAAAGTGCTTCTTTCCTACTCTATTTTTATTTATTTTTTAAGATTTTTAAAAAATATATTTATTTGACAGAGAGAGAGAGAGAGATCACAAGTAGGCAGATAGGCAGGCAGAGAGAGGGGGAAGCAGGCTCCCCACCGAGCACAGAGCCTGATGCAGGACTCCATCCCAAGACCCTGAGATCATGACCTGAGTTGAAGGCAGAGGCTTTAATCCACTGAGCCACCCAGGCGCCCCCACAATTTTATTTTTATTTTTATTTTTATTTTTTTTAAGATTTTATTTATTTATTTACTTGACAGAGAGAGAGAGATCACAAGCAGGCAGAGAGGCAGGCAGAAAGAGAGGGGGACGCAGACTCCCGGCTGGGCAGAGAGCCCGATGTGGGGCTCGATCCCAGGACTCTGGGATCATGACCTGAGCTGAAGGCAGTGGCTTAACCCACTGAGCCACCCAGGTGCCCCCACAATTTTATTTTTAAATAAAAGATCATACCCAAATATCTTCTTACATAATTTCTAGGGTATCGTATTAATAATAATAACATCTTTTCCTGTTGTTTCCCTTAAATAGCCCATTTTGATCTTTTTGTCAGAAAAAAATTTCCTGGCCTCTGTTTATAATTTCCCTTTTAAATTTTCATTGGGAGAGGAAAGTAGAGATATGTATGTTGGCTTTTAGTGCTGCCTACCCAGCCTTGGAGTTTGTTGTGTTTCAGAGAGAAGTAGTTATTTACCTTTTCTTCAGCAGCCTACTGTATAGTTTCTTAGCCTATATATGTAAATAAATAGTAAAGAATACTGTTTCTCCTTTCTTTTAACTTCTTAATTAACTTAGGAAGGGGACAATTTTTTGTACCCTAGTTGCTGAGCGATACTTAGAGCTGCTCACACCTCCCGGTCAGCTCTTTCACTCTGGCTCGGCCTCTCCAGTTCCATTATCCTTGCTTCCTCTCCTTTGTACTCCTCCAGCTGTTTGATTGTGGAGGGGGAGAGTCAGTCTCTACAGTTGGGAAAAGCAGTAATTTAACATAAAGGTAATAAGCAGGATTTTTTTCTTGTCTTGAAAGGAACTGAAATATGATGTTGGTGGAGGAGAACGGTTTGACTCTTTGACAGATCTTGTGGAGCATTACAAGAAGAATCCCATGGTGGAAACACTGGGCACAGTACTACAACTCAAGCAGGTGAGCATATGGAAAGCTAACGCCCCATCTCCTTGTAGTGTTACAAAAAATCCCAACATAGAATATTTCAAATAGAGAGTAGTAAAGTAATCTCATGAACTTCCCCACACTCATCACCCAGCTTCAACTGTGATCAGCTAACCAAGGCTTGTTTCATTGTTCCTGTGCTCACTGCCCTCCTCCTGTGGCATTTGGAAACAAATTTAGATATTACATCATTTCCGTGATTATCTCCAGGTGTATCTCTAAAAGGTCTCATAGAGTTTTTAAAGCAAGCTTTTACCAAGTTTGCATCTAGATCAACCTTTGGTTACCTTTGGGTTATTATACTTAACTCACTTTGGAGTAATTGCTATCTTGAAGTTTACCTAGTGGCAGATTATATCATCGCTCTAAGTAATATTGTAGTCTATTTATAAAGAAAAATAGGTTTGAATATTAGCAGAGTAAAGTGTGTGTGGAGATTGAAGAAAGACATATTTCCTCACAAAACAGAAAAGAAAGTGAAACTGTATTTGAAAACTTTTATTGTGAATTACTGTGTCCTTTGAATTTCCTGTCCTTGCCTTACAAATGATCAACATGGAACTCTTTTTTTTTTTTTTGCATTAACACTTTTTTTTGTAATACTTTCTTCATTTCACACCAACTGCTGAATTTGATTAGCCCCTCAACACAACACGTATCAATGCTGCTGAAATAGAAAGCCGGGTTCGAGAGCTAAGCAAATTAGCTGAGACCACAGATAAAGTCAAACAAGGCTTTTGGGAAGAATTTGAGGTAAGTTATTAAAAAAAATTTTTTTTACGTGAGTTATTAAATCCTATTTTTAATGAGAGAGAAGTTGGCCCTGTATTTGGAATTGGATCTAGAAGACCTGAATCTGTGTTCTTTCTTAATTCAGCCATTGATTGACATGGAACAAGTTGCTGAGGGGGCTTCTTTGAAATAGAAGGGCATTGTGTTCTGGGAGAAGGGAGTTGGCAGTTAATATTAAACGAATGAGCCAATAGCTCCATTTGCCTCTTTTGGTTTGGACTGCTGGCAAACACCCAGAAAAACAAAAGGATCTAATTCCTTTGGAAGATTTCCAGCATGGGCTGGCTTCTTTAGAAAGAATCTATAGCCTTATTGCAGTGAACAAGTAAAAGTGAAATACCTCATGGCAGTTTTAATTTGGGAGTTGACATTTATAACTTCGGGAAGTTAAGTGAACTGATTTTTTTCCCTGAAACCAACTTGGGTAGGAGAATGTGTCCAGAGGGAATGTGCTGTGTTCTTGTTCCATTCTGGTATGTCACTTGCCAATTTGTATCATAACGTCATTCTCTCTCTTCTCATCCATTGGACTGCAGACTTCCTCAAAAACAAGAGTTGTACCATACTTACCTTCATAGTTCCTCCTAGCCTGTGGCACAGTGCCTAGTACATGGTAGAAATTCCATAAATAGTCGTTGAATGGGTGTTTATATTTAGCTAGTATTTGTGTCAATTTATTATTACTCTTCTGTTTATGGGAACAGTAGACTATGCCATACTTTCTATAGGACTTTAGACTTCATAAATATTTGTGGGATGAGTGAGTGAATGGCCACATGAAGTCTTTGAAACCACAGTAGGGCAATTCAACTTGTTGAGATAGACATAATTTCCGTTTTACAGAGGAGGAGCTGTTAAGTAAATTGTCCAGGGTCTACACCACAAATACCAATTGTACTGTGGCATTGAGGTTGAGTGCACAATAGAGCGGTCCTAGTCCTCGCTCCACGTTGCTGAGCAGGAACTTGAGCTCAGTTTTATTCCTTCATCCCAGGCATGGGGTTAATCACCGAGGACATTGTGGCGAACAAGACAGACAGGGTTTCTGTCTTTAAGGAGCTTCCCTCTCTAGTTGAGAGAGGGAAGACAGTGAGGGAGGGCATCACCAAGAAAATGATGATCAACATAGTGAGTCAGGAATTTTAAACCTCAAGCTCAGTGCTCTTTTCATTCTGTCCCACCAGCGGAGAAAATAAAGGGCAGCATTTCTATTCATTTTAATTACATTCACTTTATTTCATTCATTTCATGTAGTCTTCATAAAGCCTTATGAGGTACGATGGATAATTACAGAAATTTTACAAACCTTACATTAAAATTTGAATGGAGAAGCTATTTTTCAAAACTTTTTATTACACAAAATTTCAAATATATACAAAAGCGGAGAGAAGAGCATAATCCTAAAAATGTGTCTGTCACTGAGCATTAACAATAGTTGATATATGGCCAGTCTTTTAAAAATTTTATTTATATATGTGTTTATTTATTTAAAATATTTTATTTATTTGTTAGAGAGAGCACTAGCAGGGGGAGCACCAGGCGGAGGGAGAAACAGGCTTCTCGCTGAGCAAGGAGCTCGATGCAGGAATACATCCCAGGACCCTGGGATCATGACCTGAAGCCAAAGGCAGACGCTTAACTGACTGAGCCACCAGGTGGCCAGTCTTTAATTACTCCCCACTGATTCCCTGAGCCTTGGCTTATCTTTTTTTTTTTTTTTTTTAAGATTTTATATATTCATTTTTAGAGAGAGAGAGCACGAGCAAGAGCGGGGGGAGGGGCAAAGAGAGAGGGAGCGAGAGAATCTCAAGCAGATTGCTCACTGAGCATGGAGCCCTACACAGGGCCTGATCCCACAACCTTGAGATCGTGACCTGAGCCAAAACGAGGAGTTGGATATTCAGCTGACTGAGCCACCCAGGTGCCCCAGCCTTGGCTTATTTATTTATTTATTTATTTATTTATTTATTTATTTATTTATTTTTATAAATTTATTTATTTTTTAAACATATAATATCTTTTTATCCCCAGGGGTACAGGTCTGTGAATCGCCAGGTTTACACACTTCACAGCACTCACCATAGCACATACCTTCCCCAATGTCCATAATCCCACCCCCCCACCCCCCCTCCCCCCATTAACCCTCAGTTTGTTTTGTGAGATTAAGAGTCACTTATGGTTTGTCTCCCTCCCAATCCCATCTTGTTTCATTTATTCTTCTCCTACCCCCTTAACCCCCCATGTTGCATCTCCTCTCCCTCATATCAGGGAGATCATATGATAGTTGTCTTTCTCCGATTGACTTATTTCGCTAAGCATGATACCCTCTAGTTCCATCCACGTCGTCGCAAATGGCAAGATTTCATTTCTTTTGATGGCTGCATAGTATTCCATTGTGTATATATACCACATCTTCTTTATCCATTCGTCTGTTGATGGACATCTAGGTTCTTTCCATAGTTTGGCTATTGTAGACATTGCTGCTATAAACATTCGGGTGCACGTGCCCCTTTGGATCACTACGTTTGTATCTTTAGGGTAAATACCCAGCAGTGCAATTGCTGGGTCATAGGGTAGTTCTATTTTCAACATTTTGAGGAACCTCCATGCTGTTTTCCAGAGTGGTTGCACCAGCTTGCATTCCCACCAACAGCGTAGGAGGGTTCCCCTTTCTCCGCATCCTCGCCAGCATCTGTCATTTCCTGACTTGTTAATTTTAGCCATTCTGACTGGTGTGAGGTGATATCTCATTGTGGTTTTGATTTGTATTTCCCTGATGCCGAGTGATATGGAGCACTTTTTCATGTGTCTGTTGGCCATCTGGATGTCTTCTTTGCAGAAATGTCTGTTCATGTCCTCTGCCCATTTCTTGATTGGATTATTTGTTCTTTGGGTGTTGAGTTTGCTAAGTTCTTTATAGATTTTGGACACTAGCCCTTTATCTGATATGTCATTTGCAAATATCTTCTCCCATTCTGTCAGTTGTCTTTTGGTTTTGTTAACTGTTTCCTTTGCTGTGCAAAAGCTTTTGATCTTGATAAAATCCCAATAGTTCATTTTTGCCCTTGCTTCCCTTGCCTTTGGCGATGTTCCTAGGAAGATGTTGCTGCGGCTGAGGTCGAAGAGGTTGCTGCCTGTGTTCTCCTCAAGGATTTTGATGGATTCCTTTCTCACATTGAGATCCTTCATCCATTTTGAGTCTATTTTCGTGTGTGGTGTAAGGAAATGATCCAATTTCATTTTTCTGCATGTGGCTGTCCAATTTTCCCAACACCATTTGTTGAAGAGGCTGTCTTTTTTCCATTGGATATTCTTTCCTGCTTTGTCGAAGATTAGTTGACCATAGAGTTGAGGGTCTATTTCTGGGCTCTCTATTCTGTTCCATTGATCTATGTGTCTGTTTTTGTGCCAGTACCATGCTGTCTTGATGATGACAGCTTTGTAATAGAGCTTGAAGTCCGGAATTGTGATGCCACCAACTTTGGCTTTCTTTTTCAATATTGCTTTGGCTATTCGAGGTCTTTTCTGGTTCCATATAAATTTTAGGATTATTTGTTCCATTTCTTTGAAAAAAATGGATGGTACTTTGATAGGAATTGCATTAAATGTGTAGATTGCTTTAGGTAGCATAGACATTTTCACAATATTTATTCTTCCAATCCAGGAGCATGGAACATTTTTCCATTTCTTTGTGTCTTCCTCAATTTCTTTCATGAGTACTTTATAGTTTTCTGTGCATAGATTCTTAGTCTCTTTGGTTAGATTTATTCCTAGGTATCTTATAGTTTTGGGTGCAATTGTAAATGGGATGGACTCTTTAATTTCTCTTTCTTCTGTCTTGTTGTTGGTGTAGAGAAATGCAACTGATTTCTGTGCATTGATTTTATATCCTGACACTTTACTGAATTCCTGTACAAGTTCTAGCAGTTTTGGAGTGGAGTCTTTTGGGTTTTCCACATATAGTATCATATCATCTGCGAAGAGTGATAGTTTGACTTCTTCTTTGCCAATTTGGATGCCTTTAATTTCCTTTTGTTGTCTGATTGCTGAGGCTAGGACTTCTAGTACTATGTTGAATAGCAGTGGTGATAACGGACATCCCTGCCGTGTTCCTGACCTTAGCGGAAAAGCTTTCAGTTTTTCTCCATTGAGAATGATATTTGCGGTGGGTTTTTCATAGATGGCTTTGATAATATTGAGGTATGTGCCCTCTATCCCTACACTTTGAAGAGTTTTGATCAGGAAGGGATGCTGTACTTTGTCAAATGCTTTTTCAGCATCTATGGAGAGTATCATATGGTTCTTGTTCTTTCTTTTATTAATGTGTTGTATCACATTGATTGATTTGCGGATGTTGAACCAACCTTGCAGCCCTGGAATAAATCCCACTTGGTCGTGGTGAATAATCCTTTTAATGTACTGTTGAATCCTATTGGCTAGTATTTTGGCGAGAATTTTTGCATCTGTGTTCATCAAGGATATTGGTCTGTAGTTCTCTTTTTTGATGGGATCCTTGTCTGGTTTTGGGATCAAGGTGATGCTGGCCTCATAAAATGAGTTTGGAAGTTTTCCTTCCATTTCTATTTTTTGGAACAGTTTCAGGAGAATAGGAATTAGTTCTTCTTTAAATGTTTGGTAGAATTCCCCCGGGAAGCCATCTGGCCCTG